TTTTTTAATAAAATTTTCTCATTTTCCTTTTCCCTTGGTTTGTTTTTTTTTTATTTTATTATGCTTTAAATTATTTTTACAGCCTAACTATAAGTATATTTCGCAATTTGAATGTAGCCTCGATTGAAAGATGAATTAAATTAGAGGTTTATGAAATTTCAGGTTCGTATCTAGTCCTTGAACTTAAAAAACAGTTAATAAACATTTGAACTTTCAATTTTGAGTCTAAATAAATCATTGAATTTTAAAAAATGTCTAGAATGTTCCGAACCTTTCAATTTTATATCTAATAGGTCATTGACCTTTTAAAATTCACTGACATATCTGACATAGAATTGGAAGTTGAGAGTCCTGCTAGACACAAAAATCAATTTTATGTCGAAAATATTCATTAATTTTTTAAAATTTTGATTATGTAAGGCCATATTTACTTCAAGCGAATGAGAATAAAGAAATGAGAATCAATTTTTTCATTTCGTGTATGTTGTTTACCAAATTTCATAAATGAGAATCAAATTGTGGGACCCACCTACTTTTTTCATTCTCACTCCCTAAAAAGGACAATCTCATTACTCTTCTGCACCTTATCGATCTCATTCTCATTCTTTATTCTAGGGCCTCACACATTTATTGCAATCACTTTCTACGTTTACCTTTGATTATGAAACCATACCTTTTGTTTAATTGTTTTATACTTTTTTTTCCTCATTTATACTACTAATAATTTTCCTTTTAGTAAAAATTTATAATAATTTTATTATAAAATCTTATAAATTCATATTTAATATTTAATATTTTAATCATATTTTGTTATTATTAATTCATATCATATTTTTTAAATATAATTCATTATTATTAATTATTATAATAATAAAATTTAATAATATCTTATATTAAAGGATGATGGTTCTAATAAAATAGTATTTTAGTAGATGTAATTTTATTTTAATTATTTATTAATATTAATATTAAATAAATTGTTATGGTAAAAAAATATTTACTATCAATAATATAGTAATAAATTAAATTAAAATATATTATTATTGTAATTAAAAAATATTAGCACGACAATACATTTGTAATTAGCTAGAAATAAGAAAGGGATATACTAATAATTTTCATATATCTGATTCCGATTTCAGATAATTTTAGTAAACAACACCAAAGGAGTTTTGTTTCCGATTCCAGGAAATTTTTGGTAAACAGTATCAAAGGAATAACATTCTTATTCCGATTGATTTTCATTCTGATTCCTGGTAGGTAAACAGAGTCTTAGGACTTATTCAATACAAATTTAAAAGTTCAAAGATCTCTTAGGCACAAAATTGGGAGTTGAGAGATTTTACGGTTCTAGAGTTCAATAACTTACTAGACACAAACTCCAACTCCAAATTTCAATAACTAAACTTGTAATTTAACTTTTATATATATATATATATAAATACATTTATTATTCCTTTATACTGCATTTAAAGTTCAATAACTTGCTAAGCTGGCTTTTCGAAATAAGGTTTGAAGTTTGAGAATAAAATGAGTAGTAATGGATTGATTATACTTTGATTAACTGTAATAATATAATAACAACCAATTATGTAAAAGTTTGGTTAATTATATAATTGGCTGTCTTTCTTTCTAAATAATTGAGCTGTTTGTTTACCAAACGCTTAAACTTTTTTGTTTGTTTTGTTTTTCTCTCTCTCTTTTCTTTTGGTTCAATTTTAAATTTTTTATTTAAAAATCCAAAAGAAACAAAGAATGTCGTTGCTGTCAGTTTCTTGTAATTATTGGAATATTATTGATTTCAAATATTTTATATATTTTTTGGATTTATCACATTTATTTAGTTTTTTAATCTTTCTGAATAAGATTTTCAGAAATAAATATATTGAGGATTGGAATATGAACTTTATTGTATAATCCTTTAGATTATCTAAGACTTTGTACAGAGATTTTTTTTTTTTTTAATTCTCTGTTTACAAATATTATGTTTGCTTTATTACCATTTATTTGCCACGTTTCCTATTTTCTTAAAAATGAGTTTAAATTTCAAAATTACAAAACTAAAAACAAAATAATTATAATTGTTGCGTTTTATCATTATCTAATAACGAGTAGATAAAAATATAATGTTAACGTCTAATGATGATGGATTCTATGAGAAGTACAACTATATCTTTTTTTTAAGTTATTTCAATGATCTAGGTAAATATGTAATGTAAAATCATGGAGCGTGTCGCGTACTTGAAATTTTCAAAACTTATTTCAATGATCTGGGCAAATATGTAACGTAAAGTCGTGGAGCATGTCGCGTACATGAAATTTTCAAAACTTACAAGTAAAAAGACATATTTTGAACGATGAAGTGTGTAGAACTTCTTCCACAAACAATCAAATTTTCATGCCTAATAAATAGTATCAAATTTGCTTTTATTATTATCTTTTTCGAAGTGATTTGATTTGCAAGATTGACCATTTCGTACCTTAAAAAGTTGCTACCTACAAAACCACACAGCGATAAGACAATAACCACACAGCGATAAGACAATAAAAAATCCGATCCTGCTAGTAGAAACTCAAAAACTTCTCCTTTAAGAGACAATCTCCAGCAATTTATGATCTAATTAATATGAATTATCTCAATGTCCAACTTATCAGTTTGACATAAACTAGCTTATACTCCAAGGAACACTCCATAACATAAATTTAATACAACATTTTAAATAGATTATAATCGTAAGTTCTTCTTAATGTGTTTTTATATTACTATTTTTATAAAAATTTAAAATTTTTATAACTCATTTGAAAACTCAAGATTTAAATATTTAGGCAGAGCTGTCATCGGTTGCACTGCATTGCTTGGCTGTATATACAGTTAACAGCTGACCATTTGGCTACTCTCATTCGCCTTCAATCCTCTCTTCACGTTTCCAAATTCAATTATTTTCTGATTTTTCAAATTTTTCTCTGCACAAGTTTTCGCCTCAGCTGCTGGGTAATCTGTCTTCTGGGTCAGTTCAATCGCTTCATTTCTCACTTTTCTTGCTCCTAAACTGTGTTTGGTTACTGAGAAAATCAACTCTGTATGTGCTGAGATTGTTGCTTTTCTGACGATCGGTGTTTGTTTCCTTTTCCCCATTTTTCTTTCTTTGTGGGATCAGGGTTTTTTGTGGAAAGAAAATAGAAGGGAGAACTTTAGGGGGTGGGTTTGATTTTCCGGGAAAATGCTTGGGATTCTGTGGAGGAAAATTTTGAGTGTTTACTTTATTCATTTGACTGTTTAGTATCTGTGTTTTAATAAACTTCTGAATAGGAATCAAACTAAATTTTGTACTTGAATTCTCAGCCAAATTTAAGAAACACAAACAAGTTTTTGAGAGGTATTTTTTTTTTGGACTAGATTTTTGAAAAGGTTTAAAAAAGCCATATGACAAATCCAAGTACAGATAAATGAAAGTGATATTTGTAAATTTAAAAAAAAAACAATAAACGAGGTGTTATCAAATGGGTGCTTAATTTTTTATTTTGTGTCTAACAAATTGTTTCTGTTTTTTTAGATAACTAAATCCTTATTACTTAGCTACCATAGTATGAATGACATGTATTTGATAGATACAAAATTGATAGCTAAAGGGGTTTGTTAAGAACTTTATGAACTACAGGGACTAAAAACTTTAACTCTATGGGAGTTCAGGGATTTATTAGAAATTATTGAAAGTCCAGGGATTAAGTAGACACAAACAGATCAAACTTATAATTCAACCATTTCTCTTCCCTCATTAGTATCTCCTTTAATTATTGTGTTGCTTTATTCTTTTGTCCTTACTCTCAATTTTAAGTGAAATGTTGCTTTGTCCATCCATTTGGTGGTTTTTGAATTTTCTCCTTGCCACACTGCACATGTCTCATGTATTGCGCATCATTTTCAGTATAAAATATGGACCTTTCAAGCCATTTTTTGCCATTTCCAACCGTTTTACAGCTTATTTCTCTGTTGTGTAAGCCATAAAGTTCTTTATTTTTGGTTCTTTGAGTTACTTTCACTAGTTTGGATATGGAATAGTTGCCGCTTGGGGGAAGCTTTTGGCCCTTTTTGCCAGTCCCTTTTGTTTTCTCTTTGGTGTTCTTCAAGTAAAATGCAAAAGAACTTTAGATTGCACAAAACTTCTCTCTTCTGTGATATCATGAACCAATTCTCCATGTTGTAGCTTAATAACTTGTTCTACATCAATTTTTTTTCCTGTTGGATTTTGTGTCAGCTTTTTATAACCATCCTTAATTGTATCATTCCTATACTCAAGATAGTTCTTCTCATGAATGCGGAGAAATGGACTAATAGAAGTAATGTAAATAACAGCTCGCGAAAATTGTCTCTTAAAGTGACGATATGAGTAGATAATTTCTTGGTATCATCTCTATGAACAGAATTTATCTAAACTTCACTGTTCTATTCACTTGAAGTGGAGAGAAACGGTAATATTGTAATGAGTATGTACCTGTTATTGATTGAAGGTTTGAATCCACCTTTTTCTTCCTTGCTTTCTTTCCTTTTCCAACTCTAAACACTTGAGTTGAGAACAGTTGTAAGCATTTTTATTTATGGTTCATTGCCATTTTGAAACCTTATTGTCTGCTTAGGAATTTGGATCATCTTCTGACATATTATAAGTAATGGAATGTCTGTTTCATACGACTCAATAGAAGTTGTTCCTTTCATAAAAAAAAGAAAAAAAAATGTCTGTTTGTTAAATGAAACGATTCCTTTCTATTTTCCTCGCAGTTTCGTAGTCTGAGTTATGATTGTAATATGATGTATAGTTAGTGAAAATGAATTTCCTTTTATCAGTTTACGACATTTTTCCTGTCTTTATTGCAGTAGATAAGCATCTCGATTCACCATAATGTCAGACCTTGAGGCCTCGAAGCCACAAAAGAGGAAGAAAGGCTGGGTGGACTTCTTGGTTAACTTTCGATGGATTATAGTTGTTTTCGTTGTTCTTCCTTTCTCCTTCGGTTTCTACTTCGTCCAATATCTTGGGGACAAACGATCGGAGAGGAAGTCCTACAAGCAACGGCAGATTGAACATGGAGAAAACGTCCAGAAAGTTGTTGAACGTCTCAAACAAAGAGACCCTCTGAAGGATGGTCTTGTCTGCACTGCCCGCAAACCTTGGCTTGCGGTCGGAATGAGAAACGTTGACTACAAACGAGCACGACACTATGAGGTTGATCTATCAGCTTTCCGAAACATACTTGATATTGACAAGGAGAGAATGATCGCAAAAGTCGAGCCCCATGTCAACATGGGACAAATCTCTAGAGCCACAATTCCCATGAACCTTTCACTTGCAGTAGTTGCTGAGCTCGATGATCTCACAGTTGGTGGCCTCATCAATGGCTATGGCATTGAAGGAAGCTCCCATATCTATGGCCTTTTCTCCGATACCGTTGTGGCCTACGAAATCGTTCTTGCAGATGGCAGGGTCGTAAGAGCCACCAAGGATAACGAATACTCAGATCTTTTCTTTGGCATCCCATGGTCTCAAGGAACTCTGGGCTTTCTTGTGTCTGCTGAGATCAAGCTTATACACATAAAGGAATATATGAAGCTTACATACACACCTGCAAAAGGCAACCTACAGGAGATAGGACAGGCTTATATGGATTCATTTACGCCTAGAGACTTGGATCAAGATAATCCCGAGAAGGTTCCCGACTTTGTGGAAACCATGATTTATTCTCCTACCGAAGCCGTGTGCATGACAGGGCGATACGCATCCAAAGAAGAGGCAAAGAAGAAAGGGAATGTGATCAACAGCATTGGCTGGTGGTTCAAGCCTTGGTTTTACCAGCATGCTCAAAAGGCATTAAAAAAGGGGGAGTTTGTGGAATATATCCCAACAAGAGAGTACTATCACAGGCACACCAGATCTCTGTACTGGGAGGGAAAGCTTATTCTTCCGTTCGCCGATCAATGGTGGTTTCGGTTTCTATTAGGATGGATGATGCCTCCTAAGGTCTCTCTCCTAAAGGCTACTCAAGGCGAAGCTATCAGAAACTACTACCATGATATGCACATTGTTCAAGACATGCTCGTTCCGCTTCGAAGAATCGGCGATACTTTGGAGTGGATTCACAGAGAGATGGAGGTACTTTTCTTCTTGTCCTTTCAACTTTCTACTATTTAAACTAGTCCTTAGCCTTAGCTTGAATGCTAGATACCAGAACATAAAGTTCTTCCAGGGTCCATTTTCTAGGGAGAAACCATCCAAACTGAATACCTTAGATTCGTCAAATCATGATTTTGTTTTTGGTTTTCTGTTTTTGTAAATTAGAGTTGTTTACTAGCAATTCGAAGGAGAATCCTTGAGTGTTGAATTGGTTACAATTATAATATGGTATCAGAAGTCTCTACTCATCTGCTGATTATTTCTGTTAAATTTGGCTATCATTGAATCATTTGTAGGTGTACCCCTTATGGCTCTGCCCACACAGACTGTTCAAGCCTCCAATGAAAACAATGGTGACTCCTGAGCCAGGATTCGAGCTCCAGCTCACACAGGGCGACACCACGTACGCTCAGATGTACACCGACATTGGAGTCTACTATGCTCCGGGGCCCGTCCTGAGGGGCGAAGTTTACGATGGCGCTCAGGCAGTTCGCAACATGGAGAGCTGGCTTATCGAAATCCACGGTTTCCAACCGCAGCATTCAGTGACAGAGATGAATGAGAAGGAGTTTTGGAGAATGTTTGATCCCGAACTTTACGAGGCATGCCGAAAGAAGTACGGAGCGATAGGGACGTTTATGCACGTGTATTACAAGTGTAAGAAGGGGAGGAAGACTGAGAAGGAAGTCCAGGAAGCTGAACAAGCTCAACCTGAAACTGCTTATGCTGATATTGAGCAGCCAGCTGAGTGACTCTCTGGTCTCTCTGTATTTATTCTTTTTTCTTTTGGAAATTTCATTATGCACATTAGATTATATATTGTGGTAAAAGAGATTGTTGTCACCTCTCTCTCTCTCTTTTATCTTCTAATGTTTCTTAAAATTTATATCATTAATTTCACGTGTTGCTTGATTATGCTACTACTTCTATATTGTAATGTCGAAATTGTAATGTCGGGACCCAAAAAAACGATTACRAGTAAAATGCATTGAAYGTCTCGTCACTCATGTTTGATCACCTGTTGCATTGTCTTCTTCAAACAATAATACTACGTTTTGCTCCTAGGATTGACTTGAAACAACTTCGTAAATATRTTTCGTATAGAAATCAAAATGATCCAATTCACAAATAAATTATATAATTTACCCTTAAAATAGCATAATTCATCAAAGAAATCGACTATATTGAACTTATAACCTTAACAAATTTGTCAACGTGATTATAACTTAACTAGTCAAGTTATTACTTTGTCCCCTAAAGGTCGAAGGTTCGACTTTTCTCTCTCCTTACTGTACTAAAAAATAAAAAAAATTCGTCAATGAAACTATATATATATACTTTTTTTTTATTTGACTATAATTACAATAACCAATAATATAATGTAGAAGTACGTACTTACTTTATGATCTGGCGTATTCATTTAAAAATTAGGATCGTAGAACACAAAATTTAAGACTTAGAAGTTTAAACACTTTTTAGAATGGAACGTTTGAAGGGATAGAATTCGTAAATATTACATGAAGATTATGATGTTGTAAATATGCCTATTTAAAAAATATATATATTTTACGCATGTGTACTAAATAGTTTTATGTAATTTATTTTTTAAACTCGTATATCTCTTTTTTTTTAATTAATGGGACAAATCACTCATTTATCTATATCAATGATATACCATGTTATTGATATCTAAATGTCTATTATTGATATAGTCTATGAGTAAACATCTAATGAATGATATATTTTATCACTAATATAAATTTCAAAGTTATTTTAGTGTTTTTTTTCCATGAGAAGCTGAAGTCGGAGTTGTAAACTAGAGGCGTTGGCACATATGACAAAACAAGTATAATTACTAAGAGTGTTCATTGGTTCAATTGGATTGAGTTCAGATACTTTTTAGACTTAGACCCAACCCAATTGTTAGGGTTGTAAAATTTTTCAACTCAAACAACTTTTTTTAAATAATAAACCCAACCCAACCCCCAACTATGAAATATTTGGATTGAGTTGATTTGGGTTATTTGAATCATTTATTCAAAGTATATTGTCTAGCATTGCATCAAAATTTGTAAGTCGATTTTATTTGTATGGAGAAAATAACACTAAAAAACTTTTAAAATTTGCCTTTAAAAGCAGTTGTATAACTAGACAGTCCATCCAAAATGATGGAATGAAATAAAATTAAAATAAACATAAYTAAATATAATTTTTACGACGAGTAAAAAAATTTGATTTAAAATTAGTAACACATTCAGGTTGGTTCGGTTCGTGAACCGTTGACCAACCTAATCCATAGAATTTTCATTTATTTAAACCAGCCCAATCCAACCCAAAAAAATTGATAACCGAACCAAAACCATATTGGTTCGGTTGGATTGATCGGTTTCCTATGGTCATCAAGTTTTTTTAATACCCCTAACAAATCCACTTAAGAAAAATATAAAATAATTTTGGAACATCGTAACACTAATAACATTTAGTTAAAATGTCTACCGTTCATGGACTGATAATATAAATGAGTGACAGACAAGGATAAAAATAGAATTACGTGTCTAAATAAGAGTAACAAATTTTTAAAAGTTGTCATATTTTGTAATTTATTTTTTATATATATGAACTCGGTAAGTAGTTAAGGCACAATTAACAAATCGTGAGTTCGAATCATTGTTGTACCTAAAAAAAACTCCGTCGGTTCAATTGGTTCGGTTAATATTTAACTGAACCAAATCAGCCGGTCTATGAATTGGTTCAAAGAGTTTGGTTACGTGGGTTTTTTCTTTTTTTATTTTTTTACTAAATTGATAATCACCTTACTTTTTGTCCAAGTATATATATTTATATTTGCTTCTCTCAAGATTTCTCTCTCTCTCCCTCTCAGTTCTGGTCTTCGTCTCTCGCCCACCGCCAGCCCGCCATTTCTYTCCCCCTTCGTTTTTCGGTATTATATCATTTMYCTTTCTTTCTTTTAATTTCAGCTTCTTCATCTTATGGTTGATTATTGGAATAGTCGCTGAATGCTAGTACTTTGTATGAATTTGTCAGATTTGAGAAACCAACGGTGTTATTTTGTGTTACTTCATTCAAATTTTCAGTWWTCAATGTTGATATTATATTTTTAATGCGTGATTATTGGGGAAGTTGTTTTCGTTTGATTTAGGTCGGTAATTTATTTATGGCTGTAATTTTTTCCCCATTTGTCCTGCCTTTCTCCTCTGGATAGTGGAGAGCTAGGACAGAAAATTCAGTGAAGAATTTCCTTTTTGCAACCAGGGAAGAGATCATGCACCCAAAATTGTCTCAAATTCTTTTTTTTCTTTCAAGCCATATACCCTAGATGAAGGTCATTTCTTAGTTTCTGTCGGTTATTGTCTATTTTAAGAGGAAAAATGCGTCCGAAGGAAGTTAGTTGTAGCCTACACCTGGAACCAAGTGGTGAAGGAGCAATAAAGGAATAGATGATCTYTGGACTCATCATTATTTAAATTCTTTCTTGGAAGAAGGTTCGAACATGTAGAGCCTAGGGAAAGTAGGCGAGAAAGCAAAGGGGCCTTTCCAAACATCTTCTTGATATTTTGCATATCACTTGAGAGAAAGGGATGATTTAGCAATCTCTGGGCCTTGCAACATAGAGGGGGCACAAATGGATCTCTCTTCTATGACAAATGACAAGCTTTTCAAATTTAATATAGGATTTGGAATTTAATCCATTGTAAGGATTTTTTTTTTCCTGTTTCTCTTTTTGGTGGTATGGCTTGTTGACGTGCTTTAAGATGTGTTAGACTGAAGTCTGTTTTGTTGATTCTTTTACGTTTCTCTTGTTTCTGCTGGGATTAGAAGTAGGATCTATTCACTCTGTATTTTTTATGCCATCTCTTGCGATATGTGAATTGAAGTATATAACTTTGTCATTGTAGGACTGCTACGATGAAGAGTGTGCTGGCAATTACGGATGACACCGTTCTGGCTACTAGCGTCATTTTTAATGCTTTGCGAAATCTTGGGAGTGAAGATGCTGGAAATTATGATTCGCAAATWATCACTCAAGCATTTTCTACAAGTAACTTCTTCCTCCTTTCTTATGGGCTATCCTTGTCAACATTTTAGTCAATTTGACATTTTGTATAATAGTCTTGTGCAGTTTACATTTCGTTTTGAAAGCTGAAGGTGTAAATTAATGCAGTAGCGATGACATGAACTTACTGACACTAACTTGTTTCATATTTTAATGAAATTTTTGTTTCCTAAAAAAACAGCCGTACTGATAGCTGATAAGTGACTTCCTTATATCTTCATTTCAAATTGAATAAAATATATACTATACATAAATCATCATGGGTGGTTTATTGGTCCAAAGGGGCTAGGGCTATTGAGTGGGAATGGGTTCAGACCTGGCCACCTACTTTAGGAATTAGTAATTCCTATGTGTTTTCTGGCACCAAATGTTATAGGACGGTTGCCCCGTGAGATTAGTCGAGGTGCRTGGCCCGGATACTTACGGATATCAAAAAAAATAATAATAATAATAAATAAAATATACTATACATGTATGTTAAACTTTCTCTATATTATAATGATGATAGTCGTAGCTTCAGAGTAGCTAAATATAAATGCCAGTAGTTAGTGTTCTCAGAGTTGAGAATTCTTGGCCCGTGAATAGGAGCTTCACCAAAGGTTAGTGGCCTTTCAATGTTCTTAGCAGCATCTGCRCCTTGCTTGTTCAATTTTTCATTGCATTTTATTAGTTATATGATATATCTAACTTAAAATGATGGTTCGCTCTTAACTTTTCCCCTCCAAACCTCCTCTTTGTTCTTATGTGTTTTCTTGGTCTTATGCACATGAGTAGGTAATAGATTCCTAGTGTAATTCGAGGTGTTTTATTGATAGTTGTTGATTTATGATAGATAAGCTGCCACTTGGAGCTTCATCCATGGATGTTATCATTTCTATCTGTAGATCTACTTTTCCAAGTGATCAGTTGTTTGGGGAGATGTCAAGAGTTCTGAAGCCTGGTGGGGTAATCCTTATTCACAAGACTTCACAGTTTGTTGCAGTCGAGAAAGATGAGGTAATTACTGAATATCAAGTTGTTTTTGAAAATTTGAATGTTTATTACCGTGAGATATCACTATTGTTTTCTTGCAGTCCCCTGATGTGGTGAGAAGATTACTTYTGGCAGGCTTTCTAGAAGCTCATGTAATCGAGAAGAAATTAGATTCTCCATCTGAAGTCAAGAATTTCGTGGTAAGATTCAATTATTTCAGCATCTGTTCTTGGGCTTCAGTTCTCATATTTTTATAGGTTTTTGTTTTCTATGTGCTGTTTGTTTTTTTCTTTTTCCTTTTTCGCTTCCTTTGGGAGCTTGTATCCTTGAACTTTTTTCTTCCTTTTCATATTATCAATGAAAAGTTTGTTTATTTTTTTTTTAAAAAAAAGATTCAATTATCATTGAAATTCGTCCCCCCCTCGGCCACCACATTTTTGCGATGTTGAACAAATGACTGGTAATTTATGGTCAAATACCGTGTTTCCTAATGCTTCCATCAACTTCGCTATGTGAAGATGATCGAAAACGTCTTATCTCCAATATCTCTTTGGATTTAACCATTTAGTTTTACCAATTTCMATTTTATGTCCTTAATATCATCCTTATTGTAAGTAACATTTTATACTCGTTCTGTAACTTTTTCGTATGTAGATAAGAGCCAAAAAGCCTTCTTGGGAGATTGGCTCCTCTTTTGCTATTAAGAAGTCAACAAAAAGTTTACCAAAGATTCAGATTGATGATGATTCTGATTTGATTGATGAAGATAGTTTATTGACTGAGGAGGATTTGAAGAAACCCCAGCTACCATCAGGTAGAAGATGAAATGACGGAGATTTATTATATTTGAATTTTATTTATTGAAAGTTAAAACAGTATTATTTACCATTTTTTATTTGATTTGTCATGCAGTTGGTGACTGTGAAGTAGGCAGCACGAGAAAAGCTTGCAAGAACTGCACTTGTGGTAGGGCTGAAGAAGAGGAGAAAGTACAAAAACTGGGATTAACTTCAGATTTGTTGGATAATCCTCAATCTGCCTGTGGCAATGTAAGTGAAAAATACAAAGTTATCGACAGTAGTGGTAAAAAATCGTGTAATTTTAAATTGAGTATGCATTTTTGTTAATGGATAAGAACCTATTTACTTCACGATTTCTGAAATGGAATTAATTATTGATTACTCTTATGTTTCTATGGAAAGGGAGATTACTTATTTCTGCCACCAATGTTTACCCATCCGGCCTCTTAGCTTTCACTTGCAATTTATATACATATTTAGCCGATCTGTATGTTAATATTAATACAACTTGCAGTGTGGACTGGGGGATGCTTTTCGGTGCAGTACTTGCCCATACAAGGGTCTTCCTGCATTTAAACTTGGGGAAAAGGTAGGCAAAATAATAGCAATTCTATTAACTTCTCGATGTAATTGAGGACTGAGACCTGAGTCACTTTTTTTTTTTCCTAATGCAGGTGTCTCTTCCTGGGAATTTCCTTGCTGCGGATATATGATTTTTTTTTTCTGGATAAGAGATATGTGACCATTTTAGAAGTTCTCATTGACTGTGTAGTAACTTTACATTAGCTTTAGCTTGCGTAACCAGCATTCAGTTGTTGCTGGATGTCCTGGTTGGTTTAGCTATGGCATAAATTGTGTGATGAATGGTTTTGTGAAACAGAGAACAATAGTATGTTGTCTACAAATTGTAGTAACTTATTGGGTCTTCTACTCGTGGTTTCAACTTGAAGGAGAATTATAATTGATAAGGCATAACAAGTTCTAATTCCACTGCTTTTCAATGAAATGCCGACCACTATTCCATTATGATACTGGCTTAAAAACCATGGTCCATGACACATATTTTAATATTACCAATGGACAATCATGTTTTGAAAGCCTTGATGGACAACTATCAATATGTATATATTGCACATTATCTATACATTAGATTTTTTAAGCTCCAAAAGCCTGGACCACCTCTTGTCTATGGACGCAGCATTTTGTGCTCCAATATCTGCAAGCAACATTCCTCTGTTAGTTCCAACTTATGGTTACGTGTGGGAGCTTGAATGATAGTGGACCACTTACACTGCACTGTGGGTTGAGATTTCTCACACGACTCTGAGCAAGTGTCCTGGAAAAGGTATGTTGTTTTGTTAACTTCTTTCAATTGACTCATGTAGTATTCAGATATTATGGTTATTGATTACTAGTCCAGTTCTATTGCATTCAACTTTCTCACCTTTGTTGAGGTGGTAAGCCTAATTGTGTCACGTACTAGTGAATCTAGATCAGCTTCAAGTCCGGGTTTGACGTATATCACCTGTTAAGTTAAAACGTGTTGTGATAGTTCTTAGTGGTAGAAGTGGAGAAAGAAATGAAGAAACTTCAGAAACTCACTGATGGATCATCGCATCCAATTTCAGGAAGATGAATCTCTCGATTGGCTCTGTTTGATGACAGAACCAAGACATTAAAGTTTGCATTGATCTGTTAGATCAAAACAATTATAGGTGTTAGAACCTACTGTTGCAATGTCGCTGAATTGAAGCCTTATGAATAGGCGAGAGATAAGGAAGATAAAGTCATAGCGGAAGTTGCTCATACTTCTTTAGTCTAGAGACAAATTCTGTATATGCATRATAGGTCAAAGTTGTGGAAGTGGATTTGGACAGGGATGTGATGGGTTGGGAGGGTTTCTTATGAACAAGGGTACTTGCTAAATCATAAAGGCCAATTACTGGAGACAAGGAAGAACAAGGGAGTTTAGTTTCTATTATGAATAGGCAAGAATAAAAATAGGTTTAAATACTGTTTTGRTCCTTGTACTTTCTAACTTTAGTTCATTTTGGTCCATATACTTTTAAAACTTTCATCTTGATCCATGTACTTTTAAAAAATTGAACATTTTGGTCTCTTTTATTTTTATTTTYATTTCATTTCTTCTAGCATCACAATTCACTCACTAAATTTCTTGAAATGTAACTATCAATTTGTATTAGAAACCRGTTTCTATAGTGTATAAAATTTATATTAAAATTTTGCAAATAGATCAAATTGGTCACTTTTTAAAAGTACTGAAACCAAAACACGAAAGTGGTCACTTTTTAAAAGTACTAGAACCAAAACGAATGTTTTAATAGTGTAATGACTAAAATGAACCAAAGTTAAAATGAACCAAAGTTAAAAGGTAAAGAGATCAAAATGAATATTTTAAAAATATATGAATCAAACAAACTAAATCAAACCAAAAGTAGGAACTATTTAAACCTTAAAAATAATAAAATTAAGGAAGAAAATCACAAAATCTCATAAAGAAAAACCCTTTTCAATTGATTCGTGTTTAACATGAAGCATGCAGATACGTGCGATCACTTCTAGTACTATGTAATATCAATAGCCACTTGATTTAGAACTAGAAGCTTTATGATGCTATCATTTATTTGTTTGTTCAAACAAAGCTCTACCTCTCTGCAGTATGGTGAAGAACAGGTACAGCACTTTCGGGTGAATGATGTGACGATCTTTCCATCTACAGTGAACCCAAAACTTGCATGCTGGTAAACAAAAGGAAAGTTGGTTAAGTATTCTAGAGTCTAGTAATCTGATAGATCATTTTGTGTGGGGATTAGTGGATCAATATGATTTTGGCTGTTTAGATTCTTAAAACTGCTTCAAAAAATGATTGGTCAAAATCCTATTATCTTCAAGCTGAGAATTGGATTCTTCAGATGCTTGTGCTGTGTGTCTGATCACCGGAAGTAGGGTTCGAAATCCATTTTGATTCTGTGTTGTTTCAGGGACAATTTTGATTAAAATCAAATTCTCCAGAAAGATCCTCGAGGGCCAACTAGATTCTAGATTCATTCTTTAATAGCTTGATGTTCTGCCTCTTAAAGAGGCTTTATTAAGGTTTTACTTTGTAGAACTTTGAAGCCCTAGTTTTAAATTAGAATTTCTGAGACGGTTAAACCTAAATTTCTCTCCATAGAGAAAAAGATACTTTTCTCCCCAAAAGCAGYAAGTCTTTTGTTTTTCTTTTATTTTAATCCTTAGTTCAAATTGTTGGGGAAAGTTTTGGGGTCTTTGATTTTAATCAGGTTTCCTTCTTTTTCAATCAGTATGAAAGATTTGAAAGCTTTTGTCCTAAAAATTTTCAATATTATATTTGATTTGTTTAACCTTTTCATGGTTCTCCCTCTGAGGGCTTTTGGTCTTAGTTTAAAGCTCAGTAAAGAAGTATTCTTTTGACTAAGTATTTGATTGTTTACGCTTCTGCATTATCGATAGAATGACCCTATTGGAAAGAACATGTCGTTATAGCGAGGGCGAACTAGATTCTAGATCCATTCTTTATTAGTTCTTCTCTAGTTCACTGGAACTGGCACTCTTGAGAAGCAAAAAACTAATTAGGCCAAATTGCACAGACCACTACCACGTCTGAACTATTGTGATAGGTATAATTTCACTCACGAATTGAACCTATGTGGGTGAAAGACGTTCTATCTGTCACTCTTTTCTTTCTACCTCCATAAAAAAGGGTCTCTCTGTTTTGCATTCTTCCTTGTGAAGAAAATTGTTTATTTCCCTCGCTTAGCACATTCCTCACTCTAGAAAAAGTCTCTCTATCCCTCACTAACACATTCTTCTCTCTAAAAAAGTTTCTCTTCCCCTCTCTAAGATGTTATTAGAGTTAGGTTCAATGTCTCAGAGAGAGATAGAAGACGTGCATCTTTGTGTTCATCAAGCACAACAAAATAAAGGAGGTACTTCAAAAAACAATCAAACAGACATATTTTCATCAAATTTTGTTACGAAAAACTATAAAATAGTTTCTTTCAGAAAAAAGAAAGYGTTGGAAATACCTTCTCAATGCAGAGGTTGATGAAGACATTTGCATCTTTGTTGTGTTCATCTTCTACTAAGTCTTCCAAGCTGAGGTCTTGCAGGGAAAGCAGGTAATCACAGGACCACTTCCCCTGCCATCTGCTTCCCGATGTCGATATCGTGATCAGACGCCGCCGTGGAGGTTTGCTGCTTCTTCTCTGAATGCCACCAGAAAAAATGAGAGAGATCAATCCATCCAAGTTTTGAGATGGAAAGAAAATTGTGTGAAGTGAAAGATAGGAAAGGAGAATGAATGTGTTACCAAGGAGATGTCATTTTTGTTTGAAGAAGCTCTGATTTTGAATGTGTGAAATGCAGATTTGGGCGCAGCTTTATTGTTGAATGAAGTGGAAATGGAAATGGTGGAGTTGATATTTGTAGCTGTTAGAAGATGCCCAGCTTCTGCCATTTCTCTCTGTGAGAGACCACAATACGTGGAGACAGCAGGTAGATGGAATTCGAAACCTTATCTGCAAAAAAAATATGAAGGGCCCAAATATTTGTTTATATGTTTATTATCTTCGTAATCTCTCGACTCTTTCGATAATTTTATTTAGGTTAAAAAACACATTTGAGCCTTATACTTTTATTAGAGTAACAATTTAGTTATTGAACTTTAGTTTGTAACGCTTTAGTTTATGTGCTCTCACTGAAGTAATAATTTAGTCATGAACTTTAGTTTGTAACAATTTAGTCCATGTAGTTTAAAGTTTGTAACAATTTAGTCCATGTAGTTTAAAATTTGTAACAATTTAGTCCATGTAGTTTAAAATTTGTAATAATTTAGTCCCTATCGTATAAAATTTTTATTAGAACTAAGTGTCAAATTTTATCCTATAACAATTTAATCTTTTAATTTATAAATATATTTGGTCCCTCTTTAATTTATCAAACTATATACATAAGAAATTTAATAAATAAAAATTACTATAAGAATTAAATTGTTATCAACTTGTTACATATTAAAATTCAATACTAAATTGTTATCAATTTGAAAGGACTATATCGTTTCAAAGTAAACTTTAATTTGTYATAAAGGATAAAAAATATTTTTTTAACTATTTGTTATATCTATAACTAAAAATAGGTGGAGTAACATTCTTTTTTCTTTTATTTCTTGGGTTGAGGTTGAASAACTCTATTTATTTTATTTTTTTTATAAATCATATTTTGAAATAGATGTCAACTCTGTTAATGATGGCCATTAGATCGACCAATTTGTGGCCATTGGATTTTGCCAATGTATTTTGAAATAGATGCCCATAATTTCCTTTAGGTTTTTTTCTTTCTTTTTTTTTATATTTGAAACAAATTTCCTTTTAGGTTACATATTCTAGGAGTTAAAATTTACTTAAATGGCCAAACATATTTGATAGYGTCAGTGATGAAAACACTTTCTCTTGGAAAAAGTAAAAACGATCCCCTTTTAAAAGTGCATGAGTATTTTGAAAGTATATGAATTAAAATTAATAAAATTTTAAAATATAGAGATCAAAATGAGAAAAGAAAATTAAATTTAAACACCAAAATAGTATTTGAACTAAAAAATAGTTGTAATTACATAAAGATAAAATTGAAATGTGTTTTTAAATATAATAACAGTTTTTTACCAATAGCATAATTTGATTTGAATTATAAACCAGGTCAATTTTGTGGGGTTTTTTTTAAAATAAGACTACAGAATTATTTTTTTTTAATGTATAATATTTCTGCACTCCATTATGATTCTCTATAAGATATCTATTTTTGTAATTGTTACCTAATTATATTTTGGTTCAACAATGTAATTAATTAAACTATTCTACAAAGCTCGAGGCATTAAACACTATTATTATAAAAAAGAAATTAATCTTCTATGTTTTTAGTATTTGTTAATCGAATAGATAGAAAGTAAAAAATGAGCGAATCAAAAATATAATTCATCCATATTTTTATATATGTACAAGGTAACAATAACAATCAAGGAAGCTATATTCTTGATTCACGAGTCAATGAGTGAACCTTCTTTAATTTTGAACTCTTTGAATTTAGTCCTACCACCATAAATTGATACGTTCATCCACTTGATACTGAAAATGCTCTATTTATTATTTTCGTTAGGAGGCCAAAAAGTTTATTGACAATTAATCGATACGAAGTTCTTTATCATTCTTAACGAATCGATGATTTGTTAGAGAAACATTTCTTCAAACTGTGCASGTACTAAATTGTTTAATTTATTTTAAGGAAACAAATATATAATATGCAAAAACAAATAAACCAGGATTAATTCGATCAATAACGATAAAATTTAACAAATAATATCATTTTTCTTTTTATTTTTTTAGTATATATTTATATAGTTTAAAGAGAATTGAAACAAACGTGTAGATATCATTTATTATTGATCTATGCTCAAATTGAGCACAAAATAATATCATTTAAGAATTTTGCAAACCACATTAGTTCATTCCTTTACCAAATAGGTAAATATTCCTTGTATTTTATATTTTACTTGGAAAAAGAGGGTCAATAAATCTCATTTCATGCTTCCCACGAGTCGAGGCCTTTCTAACTCTACAACCTTTTATTTGCTAGAATGATAAATTACACTGCCAGTAGGAAAAATATATAACTTTTCTTCATCCGTACAGCTTTGGTCGAATTTTTTAGTTCAGAAGATCAAACCATCAACTTTAGAATGATAATAAGTGTTATCCATCAAACTATGTTTAGATTTGCAGTTACTTTAGACAGTTACTAACTTCATATTCGACATTTAAACAAAAGAATAGAATATTACAATTGTTATAACTTATGTTTTGATAATACACCTAACTTACGTTAAGAAAAGATTAAGACGACAAAGACAACACGAGCATACTACAAAAATACAGCCTACAAAACGAGTTCGAAGGCTAACTATACAAGTTTAGATTCCAATTCAAAATAATGAGACTTAAATGATAAGAACAAAACTCCTTAGTAACCAATGTCGAAACAGAGGCGTTAAACCTAGCAAGAGACCACACCATCTCATGATTCCTAAAAATTATATTGTTAAAAATAAAAACCGGTCTACCACTGGATCCAACCCTTATCGCAAAAGGGAGGATTACGAATAACCTCCCCCATCATGTCAATACAAACATTGGATCTGATCAAACAAAAATTTAACAACAGAAAGAAACGATACCCTATCATTCGAGCGTCCCGACAATTCCAAAAAATTGGTTCAGGTCGTATCACAACTTGTATCACTATAGTTTATAACTTATAAACATGAGATAAATAGTTTATAACTTCACAACTTGTATCACTATAGCACTCAGAATTTTCCCCTCTACTATTGTTACAATTTCCCTCCTCAAGTATATATGTCATGGATGTACAAAATTCCAAATGCCTGTTTCTACCCTATAAGTTTCAGATAATGATCCAAAAAGGGCAGAAAACAAGAAAGATACCCAAAAAATGAAACACATGATCATTATAAAGATCAAACGTGGGGATACAGCAATTACCATTACGCTACTTTGCTCACTTCACATGTCTTTTTCGAGAGCTTCGAAAAATCGGTAAATGTCGGGAGAAAGTTATCGATGGGCAGCCAAAGAAGCGGAGAAGATTTCGGCAGTCCCTGTCTCCATCATCACCCTGTGAACTTATATGACTCAAATAAGTTTTCCCTTCGTAGATATACCATAGTTGTTGGCATAAAAGTACCATCAATCCAATTTGAACTGAGAAACTTGAGATAAATAGATAAATAAGGATGAACCCTCTGACAGACAGTAGCGTCGTGGATCTCACAACGGCATGGATGATTTCCTTTGAGAGATTCCAACCAAACTTGGTCCCGAAACCATTTAAGCGACCCAACTCATGGAACGTTAATGGTGGCCACATATGCAGTACTGAATATACAGCCATGATTGAAACATAGATTGTACTCACAATAGTTGAAATGAGGAACAGAATGAAGTGTTTATGGTTTCCTGCACCAACACAGTTCCCTATCTGCACACAGTTTACCCCAAAAATGAAAAATTAGAATGCAAGAAAGAGTCTTGGTTATAAAGATAGACCTATTCCTTAGTAACAGGGACTTTTCTAAAGTTTAAATTACAGCAAACTTGATGCCAACAAGGATCTATAGTTGATGGTCCAAGGGATARGCCCCATTTGATAACCATTTTATTCTAAAAAATTATGATTACTTCCTCACAATTTCAGATTCTTTGGTATATTTTCACCTTTTCTGAAAACACATTCGAATTTTAAAAACAAGAACTACTTTTTGAAAACTTTTTTAAAAAGTAGATAGCAAAACAAGAAAATAGTAGTATTTACAAACTCGATTTTAAAAAATAGAAAATGAAAAATAAAATGGTTATCAATTGAGGCCTAAACTATTGCCTACCTTTGCCTCCTCCCACTCCCTCTACATATATAAACAGTTTTTTGGCTAATGATTAATATACCCTCAATACCTTAAAAATATTCCTACCTACCCTATAGCATTCCTATCCCTATGCTGACCGTCAGAATGCAAATGTCAAGACCCAGTTACCGTAAAGACATGAGTTCTGTTCCTCGAAATAAAGGGGCTCTACCAGGAAGAAATCCATCCCATCAGATAGAGCTCAGAACTATGGCTTCGAACCAGATAATACGCAGATCTTCTAAAAAAACTAGTAGAACAAACTCCGAGAATTGGTTTTTCATGGAAAATAAATTGGTTTGTAAAATCAAACTGTGGTTTTGGAGCACCAAGAAATAAACCACTGAAAGAAAAGTAAACAGAAAAGAGATTAACAAATCTCCTAGCTGCTCTGCTTACAGTAGCCATTAGCCAATGAAGGATCACCTGGCACATTAACAACCTCCATCCTGTTTGTGGAGCTATAACTATTTTGAAAGCATATAAAATTGTCCAAGACATTGATAAATTGTTACACTTGGAATTAACCGCTCTACTACTTCAGGTCTCATTTAGATGTCCCCTTTCACAAGATGGGATATACTTAAATTTTTATTTTAACCCCCTATGAGACGGGGAGTCATATACCATTCCACCTCTGCCCTCAACCTTGTCTTCACAAGGGTGAGATCACTGTACTTTATGGAGTATAAATATTAACTTTTTATTTAAATAAAACTCAGAAATATGTGCTGAGATGTYCTCAGTTTTATTGATTTTTCGTATTTCTGTTAAATGCCTCTCTTTGGTCTTCCAAAACCAAATAGTCTTGCAATGTACCTCTTTTTTTAATTCATTGTTGTTTATCYATGGTTAAGTAGAGATTTATTTTTGTAATCTCCCTGGCAATTTGAGTTACAGTTAGGCATAATCCCAGTAACTGAAAGCTTCTTCTGTTAGTACAATTATTAATTTCTAAATTCTTATTTCTGTACACCTATGTTACTATTTAGATTACTGTAAAAAAAAAAAATATCAGCAACAACAACAACAACAAAAAAAGAAGTTACTATTTAGATTACTGCATAAGAAGTTTGACATTTCCAGTATAAGCAAGTTCCAAGCAGTGATCAACGTTATGCAATACCGACTTAAAGTAAAATAAATTGTTCCTTATTTGAGAAGTTCTCTGAAAAATGAACTTACAAATGGGCAATGGTGGTCCATGTCCAAAACACACACACCACAGGAACGGCAATGATGAGTTCTAGGTGACTTTGGCTTCGAGCAGTATTGACAGAAGGTATAGTTTTCAAGGTCACCCTTTTCCACAACTGGATAGCTCCCCCATGGGACGTTTGGAGGCATACCGGGACATCTAAATGCAGCAACACTGAATGAAGAAATGGTGGTTACTGCCAAAACCATGGTCACAGTGGAGTGGAAAATACCACAAAATTGGCTGATGGAGAAAACAACAGGATATACAGCCCATACACCGCCACCTGTACTTCAAAGAAAATGCATGGAAGATCAGAACACATGACATCTATTGATTATCATTAAACTGATGAAGCAACTGAATCATTAAGCAGTTGGTTAAAGGAAACAGATWTAAGCATTGCATCCCATTAAATAGAACTAATATTGTTTCTGTTAGGAAGTGTTTGCAACCAAAGCATGGGATCTGTTTAGACAAACATTAATTAGTATTCGATAGATATGAAAAGGTAGAGAAGCTTCTTACATATCACAAAAAGCATGAATAAAACTAGGACACAAACAAAACTCCGATCTCGTAACCACCTCCACTTTAAGGACTTGTCCTCTTGCTTTGGTGCACTTCGATTTGTTATGGCTCCACACCAACCACACTTGAAAATAGCTGCGCCTGATGGAAGCAAGAGATGCAGCCCGCAACCCCAACATGTTGCTTCTTGATCCTCTGCCACTAATGCTACTACATGCTCCTGTATATGCCAATATTATATAAAAAGGATATACTGCTTTGAAATATTGCCAACAAGACAATCAAGAATTTCAAAAAMATTAATTGTWGATCATCCACATAGATCTAAGCTCATAATACCACTATCAAGCTACCACTTCTTTAAAATGGAACAAAAATTTTGTATTAATGTGAGAACATAAAGAGCAAAAAGAGGTTAAAAAACAACCAACTAAACAGGGGATGAGCATCACACCGACAGGAGAGCCATTAAGGATGCTACAAAGTAGATAGAAGTTCTCCTTGAGACTTGGCTTTTCATCTTCGTTTTGGCATTGTTTTGGCATTATTTATCGTATTCGGTAAGAAATATAGATATACATTATTACCAAACTTCTGCAGAGGCAGATAAGAATCCACCCAGATTAACCAAAAGGGAATGCAATGACATTATCAAACACGCTATACAACAGCTATCATTTCTAGCTAGAATAGCAATTATCCACCAGTGGTTCTGGGAAAATTGATAGGCTATAATAAGTTTATTTACGCGTAGTGTTAACAGAGATATCCATATTTTCTTGACCACTGCAATTTTCACATATACCAAATCTTGTTTAAAGTTCCCATTTATCTACATATCAAAAAAGTCCAATGATGATATTTGTGTAGTTCTTTACCCCTGCTGGGCTAGCTAATCATACTGTTCATAATTTATCTCCTTTCATTGCCGTCAACACTTCCAGCTGCAGAATAGAAGTTCAGTGGTCGTGACTTGTAAGAACAGAGGTAGAAGCAATGGAATATTACAGACAATCAACAACAGAAAGCTTTCATATTCTCCCAGAAATGTTTATAAAAGGAATCCAATGCTAAATTGACTAATCCCAAAGAAACAACAACCGAAAGATTACGAAGCAAGACTAGAGCATAATGCAATAGTAGCCAACTGGGTAACGATCAAATGAAACCCAGATGGGACCAAACAAAAAAAAGACTGCATCAGAATCAAAAACCAAATAAACCCACAAAAAAGCAAGGTAGTAAAAGTTCACAGATTAAACCAATCAACGATAGACGAACGGACCTTGGGAAGGTGGACCTCAGCCATGTTCTCGGGATTAACTGTTGGAGTTGCCGTAATCACATCCATACCAAAGAATCCAGAAATTGGGGTGGTTGATTTCACAACCAGTTGTCGAACAGCATCATATTCTTCAACTGCAGTGAATCGAACAACCAAAATCTTAAGCAGACCCACCAAGAGGAACTTGAAGGTCAGCGGCGAGGGAGCTTCTTTTGACTTGCCCAACGGTTTGGGTTCTTGCGCTTCGGCTTAATCGAATTGAATCAGAATTCGAGACTCTGAATTTCTTCTGAAAAGTTTTGATTTTTTTTTTTTTTTTTTGATTTCATAGAATTACTTTATCTTAAATTTATTTCCAGCATATTTCGTACATATAACAATTGAAAATACGTTTGAACAGTATTTTTCATTCATTCTCTGATCACTAGAAACAAAAACAAACCTTGAGCGCCAACAAAAACCACATCTTATCTGGTTCAAATCTTCACTTCATAGTTTTTTGAAAAAATAAGAGAAGATTTATAGTTAAACAGTGACTCGTGTTTTTACGAATAAACCTTGTGGTTAATTATCTTGTAGCTTAATAATTAAATTAATAAAGTAGAATTCCATTATTTTTAATGTCGAGAAACATTGTTATTGGGATAGATTGCACGGTAGGAATCTAATAAAGACCAGCCACAAGCACATTCTAAGTAACGATGAATGCTTATTTGGTTTATTTAAGGTGTATTTAGTTGGTGATKAGAAAAAAACATCTAATAATAAAATATTCAATGAAAAAATGAAAAATATTATTGTATTCTTTATTTTCAGTATTTTAGTAAYGTGTTTGGTACCGAATTTCATAATTTAATCTCAATTTAAAAAATTGTTCAAAATTAGTAATGGTTACAAACTATATAATTAGTTTTGTGTCCCCAAATATTAAAACCTGCTGTTGGAAGAGTTATAATGATATTCTTCCTTCTAAAGTTAATCTGGTGAAAAAWTTTTGTCCTTTTTGCAGGAAAAAAGAAGAGACTACTCAACATATCCTATGGGAATGTGAGGTAATTAAAGATATATGGATAAATTGCACCCCTATTGAAGCAATTTTTTTCTACATTGACAGGACAAAATGGACTACAAAAGAGTATTGGGAGTGGCTAATGGATAAGGCTGGTGAAGAAGAACGTAGAAGAAGCATGATAATAGCTTGGCAGATTTGGGAAATGCGGAACAAATCAATTTTCAAAGGTGTTCATTCAGAAACTAGAGACATTCAATTGGCGATTGACAGATACATAATCAACAGTGCAGGTCGAGACACAAATCTAAAAGGAAAGTCGACAAACAAGGACTTTTGATAAGGCGAATTGGAGATAATACAGGTGCCCGATGGAAACCTCCCACGTCAAATTCATGGAAGTTAAATACGAATGCAGCATGGCAAGCTGATACAAACACCGGCGGGATTGACTGGATTTTAAGAAACGAGAAGGGAGAAGTCATCAAAGCAGGCTGTAGAATTATAAGAGCGGAAAGAAATATTACTTACGTAGAGGTGATGGCTATTTGCGAGGGATTGTGTGCRATTCGACAAGAACACTGTCGACCAATTCACTTGGAATCTGACTCCCTTGAAACCATTCATCTACTTCACASACATGTCAATATCAACCTGAAATTACTTGGCTTTTAGAAGAAATTTGACAAATGATGGAATATATGGAAATAGTTTCAATGAGACATATCAGTCGAGAGGCAGGTAAGAGGCAAGTAAGGTGGCCCATGGCTTAGCCAGACGAGTGATGGAAAACGATTTGAGGGAAGAGTGGAGTTGTCAAACTCCCTCGTAACTAGACAATTTAGTTTTTCCAGAATTTGTTTTATGTTAAGTTGTTTTCTTAAAAAAAAAAAAACTATATAATTAGTTTAATATAAAATAGTATAATTAACTCATTTTTGTTATAATTTTTTATAATKGTTATTTTACAACTTTATATAATTTGTAATATATTATATTTTACCGTTGTAATTTGACTAAAAATATAATAAATTTATAACGTGCAAATATATGTATAAGAGTCAATTTTAAATTTCAAATATTAAAACATTAAAAACATAAAACAATATTATTTTCAACATTTCTACTATTTGAATTGTAAAATTGGAAARTAGTTTTTAAAAAATAAAGTTACCAAATCCTACCCACCACTATTCACTAAATCAATCAAATGGATTCAATGAATTTGAAAAACAATAAGCAAAATACGAATTGCCAAACAGACCATAAAAACGTTTATTTGTTCATGTCATTCTTATTAAAATAGCTTTTCAATTGCTTAAAAAAGAAAAATTGCTTTTCAATGTTGTAGCCCATGTTCAAAATTTTGTTCGATATGTCGACGTGTCGACGATCTCGACATCGATATTGGGGAAGAAAATCGTTTTTCCCCAATGTCGATATGTCGAGGAAATGTCGACCAAATGTCTTTTTTTTTTTTTGCATTGAATCCCTAAACGATTTTAGGAAATTTTGGATATATGGTGGCCTTCTAGTTAGTGATCGGTTGTTTTTCAAGAAAAAATCTAGATTGAAAATTTTGAATCCAAACGATTTCCGTTCAAAACGTCTTTTCAGTTTTGTGTAAATTCAAAGCGTGTAGAAGAGCAACCAGAAAAGTCGAAAATAATAGTAAAARATTGTACGACRTTGRACGTTTTCTATTTTTCTTTTAAAGAAATTAAAGTTAAATTCTTATCATTTTGATCAAAAAAGAAAAACAAAACAAAAAACGTTAAATTAATTTAACTATAAAAATATAATAAAGTGTTAAAGAAATAGATTATAAACAAGATTTATAAAAAATTTWAKTTAGATTAAATTTAACTAAAAATCTAACAAAGTAATTGATTTAAAAGAAAAATAAATTAAATTAAATTTAACTGCTAAATCTTAAAACAAACAAATAATTAAAATCAATCTAATTAATTATTATTAAACATTTAAATTTTATAAAATTTTAATTTTTATGTTTTGGTTCAAAAAAGATAAACAAACGTTAAACTAACATATAATCGATTTGAAAAAAAAAAATAAAATTTAATTTAATTTAATTAAAAAAATAACAAAATCTTCACGTAATTAATTTTTTTAAAAAAATTTAAATTAAATTTAACTAACCAAATCTAAAAACAAACTAATAAAAAAATCAATTTAACTAATTATTATTAAATATTTAAATTTTAAACTAAATATAATTTTTTTAAAATTATTTCATACTTTATATATATCTATATTTCACATRTTTTGTTCAACTATATAAATATATTGGATTAGAAATTATTAATAAAAAAACAACATTAAACTTTAATTTACTAACTCAAATAATTTTCATATATGTGTAGATGATTTTGTTTCAATATTTTCATCGTATATTTTTATAAGTATATTAATTATATGGTTAGATATGATAGTTAGAAGTAATTAGCTATAGACTAATTAAGCTACAATTAAAATATTATTTACTAATTTAAAAAATTTCAAAAATATCCACTATTTTCGTAATTTTTCTCGAAATATCCATCGACATTTCCATCAACATCGACATTATATTTTGAACCTTGGTTGTAGCTTACTGTCTTGTCACGGGGGAGATTATATTTGCAGTGCTCTTTTTCTTTTACTTTAAAAAATGTTTTTTTTACATAGGCAAAGTAATTTTGTACAAATTTTATCATTCAKAGGAGAAAAAAAATACATCATGTGTTTAATTAGAAAAATGATCAACTCCGTGAATGTCGGATCAGCTAGAATGAGCTGGACAGTGAATTTGGATACCACATAGAAGACATGCAAAAGATGGTGAGAACTTCGACGTCAAAGTTAGTGAATGTCCAAATTAATTTGAGAGAGAAAATTGAATGTCTGCATACCTTGGAATGGAGCGGAATGGTTAGAACAGTATTCCCGACAATACCTCAACAACTCTTTAAGGTTGTCATGAAACGCGACATGTTATCGTAGAGTGTGGCGGAGACTGGACCGAACTGAGATAAGTCAATTGATTCAACCAGTAATATGGGAACGGGATTATGAGCAAACTTGGTYGGCTCGATCACGCAAGACACCGACTCGACCATATACACGAAGCCGAGGTAATAGAACTTAAATACTCTAGGTGGTGGTCACATGTACTTTTCGTCATGCTAGTGACGTATGCCAAGTGTATGGCGAAAATGACCTCCAACATAATATTTAAATTATATTACGTGATTTGTTTTTAAAGCTATAATCTAATATATTAGGTTTTTTTTGTTCTCTCTTATATTTGAAGATTGTCCAATAGATAGAAACTTTTCTTTGTGATTCTTTAAATTCCTTTGGTAAGATACCAAATGCTTTTTACGTGAATGGGAAGGGAATTGATGCTTCTCTTTATCTCATCTATAGAAATAAATATAATTTAAACATCATAAATTATATGATATTTTTTTGGAAGAATTACACGTTGAATACAATAAACTTGTACTTGTAAAAAAAATGGGCTTACKTAATTGCAATTTTATATTAAATTGCTTTTCTTAACATGAAATAATTTAATGCATTTGATTACCGTTGATTTTTACTAAGTACCTGTAGGAAAAAAAAAWAWTWWTTKRWTT